CCATGATCTCTAAGGGGTCCATGATCTCTAAGGGGTCCATGATCTCCAAGGGGCCCATGATCTCTAAGGGGCCCAGGGCAGTGAGGGCACAAGCAAAATATCTGGTTATCTCCTGCTTTACTTGGAGTTCTGCGCTGCACAGAGAGACTGCTGTGCTTCCGCTGCATCTGTGCAGCCCCGCCTCCTCCCAGCAGCTGCAGCTCTGTTTTTTTTCTATTGGATCCTTGACTGCGCGACCTGTCAATCAACTCAGAAGGCGTGTCAGTAACTGACCAATCAACGACCTCAATTTGTCCCGAAGGTAAACGCCCCTTACCTGCTGAGAAGCTCATCAGTTTTCTTTCTTGAGAAACATTGTTTTAATTAAAACAATAAGTTTGTATCTGTTGCGAGATGATTTTAGCAGTTTTGCAGATTTTAAATGTACTTAAGAATAGTACGACTTAAAACCGCTCATCAAACAGAAGGAAGGATTATTATCACTCCTGTTACTACAGTGAATGTGGTACTTTGCTATAAGTACGACTATATTAATGGCATCAGAGAAAACTGAGCTCAAGTTATCACATAAAGTAAAATGTCATCAGCATCAAAAGAAGGAATGTTAAGTTTGAGATTAATCCAGTTTCTGATGTCTGACCAAACACTTTGTATTGACATAAAAAAAAAATTGCTTGAGGGATTCATCTTGTGATTTAAAAAAGACACACAAATCAACATCAAATTTAAATCTTCTTTGCAGAAACATAACTACAGCATAGATCTTATTTATTATTTTAAAATGATTCTCCTTCACTTTAGGAGATTTAGGCCATTTGACAAATTTAGAATGAGCAGAAGTCATTCTGGTTTTATGATTTATACTGGGAGGTTTCTTGAAGGAATCTTTGTTATAATCAGTAAATCATTTGTTGCAAACATTCATTGATAATCTTATTAAATTTCAAGTCAACTAAGTTACAGATATTTAGTTTTAATTTGGGCATCTAATCAGCACCTTTGAATATTTTTAATTCATTGAATCAGCTGTTGGTCAGGTTACTTCTTGTTGTGCCATTAACTCTAAAATAGTTACTGAATCAAGTGTTTACTTCCATCCATCCGGGGGGTATCAGCCTAAGTGGGGAGGTCCAGACTTCCCTCTCCCCAGCCTCTTGGACCAGCTCCTCCAGGGGAATCCCAAGGTGTTCCAAGTGTTTACTTGTGTAGGTAAAACTAGATGTTAAACAACCATTAAAATACACCAGAATGCAGGAAATGGCATCTACTTTATTCAAAATGTTCTGAGGGAGGACCACCAGACCCCCCATCACTGTGTGTCCCCCCCATTATAAATGCTTCTGACACCAGTGGCCAACATGTTACTAAACAAGTACACATATGGTGTCATGTGGTGTTCAAAGTACTTTCAACTTAATTCAGTCTTGATGATTTGTGTCAATGAGCATTTGGAGTTTTATACATAAAAATACACTTGATAGTTAGAAATTTAAGTATATTTACTGTATATTATGGTAATTTATTCTGTATTTTGCCAGATTATGGTGATTCTGGGATCGTGATGATGGGGACCATGAAGATTGTTGCCCAGGGTACAGTGAAGTGTTAATCAGGCCCTGTCCTTCAGTCAGATTGAATGATCTGATCTGAAATCAGCCTAACTCAGTAGCTATGTTTACAGCGCAGAATTCTTTGACCGGATTGAAATGTGTTCGTTTAAATAATTCAAATGTATTGTTTACATGGGCACAATCTGTTCATGACGAGCGTTTACATGCAGCGGGCTTTGTTCTGAACAGCAGTACTGACATGCGCAGAGTGGTAAACTCTCCTTAAAAAAAACACAGAAGAAGAAGTTCTACTTCCGGGGTGAACGTAAACAAACCTGAGCACCCAAAATGGACCCGCAACAGGTTTTAATGACGATGGAGACGTTACTGCACTCCCTGACTGAGCTACAGGTGATACAGATCATTTTGAGCTCTTTCAAAGTTTCTAGTAGAAATGTTGTATCTCTCACCGACCAGTTTTACTTCCCTGACATGCTAATATTATTAGCATTAGCCAGGCGGAAATGGCAAAGTCGCACATGTGCAGTCAGGTCAGTTTTTCACCATCAGATAAAAATGAACAGATCAAGTGTTTACATGCGCTCCGATCGGGTTACGGATCGGCGTAAACCACCCGTTTCGTTCTGATCACAAATTATAACGGATCGTGCCGAATACACAAAAAATAACCCGAACGGAGTGTTTACATGACACACTTTTATTCCGACCGGCCATTTGATCTGGTTACTTATGTCCATGTAAACATACCCTGTGTCAGTAGGCTTCAGATGGTGCCATTTTATGAACTCATTACCTCACTGTGCTGCTATCTGTGTTTATGCCAACACTGCTAACTAGTTATGACCACCTGTGTAAAATAGAGCCTGACAGATATATCGGTAGGACCAATAATTGTGGCTGATATCCCCCACCTCCACTCTAAAACTGTTTGTTTAAACAGCGCGCTGCGCAGCTTAGGATGAGTCTCCGTCCATCCCCCCCCGCGCTCAGTCTGCCCCTCCTCCAACACGGACAGACTGAGCGTGGCTGACCGAAATCAGACTACCTTCTCTGGACTGAACGAAAATAACAGACCGCTGAAGCCCTGGAGCTCGAATGTCCACCGTAAAACTAACTTTAACATGGTTTAATGTGGCGTATGGCTCTGCAGACATTCCACGTTGCCGTCTTGCTTTGTGGTGTTTCTAGTGTAAAATATTTCCACACAGCGGACATATTTAGATGAAAAGTTTGTTAGCCGTTAGCCACAGTGCTACTGCACGTTGTAGCTGCTGCAAACTATGAACTGGATTTCCTGAATGTGAGGCGGGTCTTATTACTCTGGGTTCATGAGACACGACTCCGTTCAGGAAATCCATTCCATAGTTTGAAGCCAACATGCAGTGCAAACACAGACATGCATCATGGATTGAAAATATCGGAAGGTTGGATCGGAAAAATCCAATACGTAAATTATGCTGGTATCGGAGCCCAATACGGATACTGGATCGGATCAGCCCCATCCCTATATAAAAATAGCAACAATTAAGTTCTAAACAGGTCAGGTGCATACAGTACATATGTGAAATGTTTAAATGTTTTAATGTGAAAACATTAAAGTGTTTATTGTGGTGCAGGATTAATTTTATTGTCCTATGTACAGACATGGGGAGGAGTTGAAAAGTTTGATAACCATAGGGAGGAAGGACTTCCCGTGGCATTCTGTGGAGCACTTCGGTGATCTCAGTCTATGACTGAAGGTGCTGCAGTAAAAATAAATAAGAAGTAAAATAAATAAATAAGAAGTCCTCAGACAAGGCTTGCTTTCTTGATTTTACAGAAAACTTTTTATTTATGAATTTATAAAAAGACCCAAGCCTCCCAAGGCACAAGTGTGTAGGATACATTTAGCAGGTATATCAGCTGTTTGTTCCCTTATTTTCTGAAGCTCTTGTTTTACCAGAGAAAAGACATCAAAGATTGTTCTGTGGTGAGAGCACTCACTACTTCACGTGCTGGATATGACAAAGGTCAGATGTCTCACTGATTGGAATTCAAACCCAAAACATTTTAACAGTTTTTAGCATGAATTTACATAAAATAATTATTAACTATGAATTATCACCTCATTCATGTAACTTACTTACATGATGAACTTATTACTGTCTTTGAACAAAAGGCAGCACAGTGGGACTAATTAAAGGTGGAGCTGATTAGCTTAGCGTCATGGTTGCTAACAGCTGCGCTAAACAAACAAGCCCCACTCCACTCGCCGTTTACTGAGATTGTTGGGGATGGACAAAGTGCAAATATTTTCAGCCATTATATCGATTATTGGTGGTTGCCTACTCCTCCCATATCGTATCGTGACAGGGCTTAATTTGTAAAGTGATAGATGCCGGAAGAGCTGGCAGGCCGGGAGTGGGGGGTGGGGGGGTGTCATGGTGGGGGGAGTTGTCTGTGGATCCTCCCACAGAAACTTTTGGATAACAGAGATGCCATTTCCTGCATTTTGGTGTATTTTAACGGGTTGTTATACATCAACATTTACTTACATTTGTAGACACTTAATAAAATTACTATTTTGGAGTGGAACAGCAGGTATCACTCAACCCCCTGTGAATAGTAAACAGCCATCAGTGTGCTAATGATCCATTGTTAGGCTGATGGTCCTTCTTGACCATGTGATCAGCTGGTTTTGGTTGTCAGCAGCAAACTGGTTGATCCACCCTGAGAAGGTGCTATTTAAGAGACTGAGCTGAAAACAGCACCTCAGACTGAGGAAGTCTCTTGGATGAGAGAGGAAACGTTTCTACATTTTTTTTTTTGCTTTGTTTTTTTGTTTTCTTGTTTTTTGAATGTCCAGAGGAGCAGATTGAACTTTTTTTGATTTTTCTACCTGGATTATTGAGCATGCATCAGGATAACAGCAGGTTGTGTGTGAATGAGCAGCTCTGATTCTGTCAGTGTCCTAAACCCCCCTCCTCCCTCCCCTCACTTCATGGTTCTGAGCTGAACTCTTCTCCACTGAATTTAGTGTTGCTCCTGCTCCAGTCTCGTGGCACCGTTTTGAAGCACCAGAAGGCTTCATTTCTCAGTCAGTCAGACGGACGGACAAACAAACAAACCAACCATCCATCCATTTTTTATTAAAGTAAACTGGACTGTCTTTTTGACATTTTGATTGCTGTTGTTATTTTGACAAATTAGCGCCGTAGTTTTGAAACTTGATGTATAATGTGAAGAACACATCAAACATTTCTCTCTTTGTATTTTTTATTTATTTTTTACAGTAAGCTTTTTAAAAATTATTATGTTTGAAATGTAGCAGGAGTTCAGACACCTGCTGATGGTGTGTGCGCGCTCTCTAGAGCTGTCTGGAGACGTTTCTGTGCGTAATGTGCACTGTCCACTGGGCATTTATTTATTCTGTTGAATAAATGATCGTTTCTGTTTCGGAAGTCTGAGAGGGTCTGATCGGTGATAGCCAAAATTTCCATATTTGTCGAGCTCTAGTGTAAAGTGCCACAGGGAGAAAGATCTCTTTTTTTCCCCCGGCAAGAATAAAGTTGTGTTGGCTTTCTCGCAATAGCGATTTTCAAAGTAGCTTTATTTTTTGCTGTGTTCCGATTGCCTCTTCAGCTCAGCTACTGTTCAGCCCAGAGCCTCAAGGTATAAATATCAGGTCAGCGCTGTGAAACGTGATTGACAGTACAGCAGCAATGGGGGAGAGAAGTGGGAGGAGAGGAAAAGAGATCCAGTTGTGAATGACTGAATCATGCGTAAAAATCCTTACAAAAGGCCTAGCAAAACGACTTGAGCGAGTGGTCCCCATAATTGTCCCACCTGACCAGAAGGGGTTTGTTACAAAACGTCAGACTTTCTTCAATGATAGGCGGCTGCTTGGTGTGTTGTGTACTATCCCACCCGAACACGCTTGTGACAAAGTTATTCTTTCATTAGACGCTGAGAAAGCATTTGACTGGGTGGAGTGGGGTTATCTCTTGGAGACATTAAAGTTGTTTAAATTTGGTTCCAAATTTATATCATGGGTGAGGCTGATTTATACGATCCCCAAGGGCGGCAGTCCGCACCAACTGTAACATATCAAGATACTTCGAACTGCAACGAGGTACGAGACAGTGGTGTCCGCTCCCACCATTTCTATTTGCATTAGCGATAGTATCACTAGCTGTAGCTTAACAGCAAAGCTCCATCATTAAGGGAACTGATACCCAGCCAGTTTCACACCTACCAGGAATGTTACCCGTGTGATCAGAGGGCCCCCATTTGTGAATTAGATTAACGAAGACCTTAACAAACCACTACTGTGAGGTGTGATAAGTCAATCTGCATATGTATGTACAGGTCCTTCTCAAAAAAATTAGCATATTGTGATAAAGGTAATTATTTTCCATAATGTAATGATAAAAATGAAACTGTCATATTTCAGATTCATTGCACACCAGCTGAAATATTTCAGGTCTTTAATTGTTTTAATACTGATGATTATGGCATACAGCTCATGAAAACCCAAAATGTCTGTCCCAAAAAATTAGCATATCATGAAAAGTTTCTCTAAACAAGCTATTAACCTAACCATCTGAATCAACGACGTAACTCTAAACGCCTGCAAAATATTCCTGAGGCTTTTAAAAACTCCCAGCCTTGTTCATTACTCAAAACCGCAATCATGAGTAAGACTGCCGACCTGACTGCTGTCCAGAAGGCCATCATTGACACCCTCAAGCAAGAGGGTAAGACACAGAAAGAAATTGCTGAACGAATAGGCTGTTTCCAGAGTGCTGTATCAAGGCACCTCAGTGGGAAGTCTGTGGGAAGGGAAAAGTGTGGCAGAAAATGCTGCACAACGAGAAGAGGTGACCGGACCCTGAGGAGGATTGTGGAGAAGGGCCGATTCCAGACCTTGGGGGACCTGCGGAAGCAGTGGACTGAGTCTGGAGTAGAAACATCCAGAGCCACTGTGCACAGGCGTGTGCAGGAAATGGGCTACAGGTGCCGCATTCCCCAGGTCAAGCCACTTTTGAACCAGAAACAGCAGCAGAAGCGCCTGACCTGGGCTACAGAGAAGCAGCACTGGACTGTTGCTCAGTGGTCCAAAGTACTTTTTTCGGATGAAAGCAAATTTTCCATGTCATTCGGAAATCAAGGTGCCAGAGTCTGGAGGAAGACTGGGGAGAAGGAAATGCCAAAATGCCAAAAGTCCAGTGTGAAGCACCCACAGTCAGTGATGGTCTGGGGTGCCATGTCAGCTGCTGGTGTTGGTCCACTGTGTTTTATCAAGGGCAGGGTCAATGCAGCTAGCTATCAGGAGATTTTGGAGCACTTCATGCTTCCATCTGCTGAAAAGCTTTATGGAGATTAAGATTTCATTTTTCAGCACGACCTGGCACCTGCTCACAGTGCCAAAACCACTGGTAAATGGTTTACTGACCATGGTATTACTGTGCTCAATTGGCCTGCCAACTCTCCTGACCTGAACCCCATAGAGAACCTGTGGGATATTGTGAAGAGAAAGTTGAGAGACGCAAGACCCAACACTCTGGATGAGCTTAAGGCCGCTATCGAAGCATCCTGGGCCTCCATAACACCTCAGCAGTGCCACAGGCTGATTGCCTCCATGCCACGCCACATTGAAGCAGTCATTCATGCAAAAGGATTCCCGACCAAGTATTGAGTGCATAACTGAACATGATTATTTGAAGGTTGGTGTTTTTTGTATTAAAAACACTTGTCTTTCATTGGTGGGATGAAATATGCTAATTGTTTGGGACAGGCATTTTGGGTTTTCATGAGCTGTATGCCATAATCATCAGTATTAAAACAATTAAAGACCTGAAATATTTCAGTTGGCGTGCAATGAATCTGAAATATATGAAAGTTTCATTTTTATCATTACATTATGGAAAATAATGACTTTATCACAATATGCTAATTTTTTTAGAAGGACCTGTATGTATGTCTTACCTCAGCTTTATAACTCGAACCCCACACTCACTGTTCTTTGAACTGAGAAAGCTTCTCGGATGAGAAGCGAAATGTCTTCTGTTACAAATAAAGTCCAGTTTTTTGTCTTGAACTTTTTTGAATTTGATACCCATCAGTGTGAAAAAAAAACAATAAACCAGAAATGTCTTAGTGTAGGAAAGCACGGTGGCACAGTTGGTAGAGCTGCTGCCTCTCAGCGAGCAGGTTACCCTGGTTCAAATCCCGGTCCAGGGGCCTTTCTTGGTGGAGTTTGCATGTTCTCTCTGTGCATGTGTTGGTTTTCTCCAGGTATTTCAGTTTCCTCCCACAAACCAAAAACAAGCATGTTAGTCTGATTGGTAACTCTAAATTGTCCCTGGGTGAAAGAGAGTGTGAATGGTTGTTTGTCTTGTTTGTCTCCATGTGTCCCTGTGATGGACTGGAGACCTGTCTAGGGGGTTCCCCACCTCTCGCACAGTGATTGCTGTACATGGGCACCAGCGACCCCACGACCCAAAAAGGAAGAAGCGGGTAAAAGATAACGGATGAATGTCTTGCTGTACTTTATCATCAATACTTTTTCTACTTCAAGTTTGGAAAAATACTATGGTCCTCAGTCGGAAAAGGGTGGATGGCTCTTTTCGGGTCGAGGATAAAGTTCTGCCTCAAGTGGAGGAGTTCAAGTATCTCAGGGTTTTGTTCCAAGTGAGGGAAGAATGGAGCGTGACATTGACAGATGGATTGGTGCAGTGTCTGCAGTATTGTGGACTCTGTGCCAATCCTTTGTGGTGACGAGAGAGCTGAGCTGTAAGGCAAAGCTCTCTGTTTACCAGTCGGTCTACGTTCCTACCCTCACCTATGGTCATGAACTCCAAGTAGTGACCGAAAGAATGAGATCATGGATACAGGTGGTTGAAATGAGTTTCCACCACAGGGTAGGTGGACTCTCCCTTAGAGACAGGGTGAGAAGTTCAGTTATCAGGAGAAACTCAGAGTAGAACCGCTGCTCCTCCACATCGAGAGGAGCCAGCTGAGGTGGTTCGGGTATGTGTGACTGGGAGGAGAGCCCGGAGAAGACCCAGGACACGCTGGAGAGACTACGTCTCTTGGTTGACTTGGGAATGCCTTGGGGTCGTCCCAGAAGAGCAGGAAGAAGTGGCTGTGGAAAGAGATGTCTGGACCTCCCTGTTCAAGCTGCTGCCCCTGCGACCTGACTTCAGAACAAGCGGAAGATGATGTATGGATGGACTAACTAAAGAAATCTTAACGGGGAATAAACATCTGCTCAATACTGACTAAAAACTAAGAGTGAGAAGGTTACCTGCTGCAGCAGGCTCGTCTGTGTTCTGGTAGAAATCTGGCAGCTCGTATTCATTCTGCCTGTCGGCCTCATACAGCTGCTCTTCACTCTCAGCAGCTGGAACATCGTCCATGGTCCGACACTGGAGAGGGGACTTAGATTAAACTCTGTAGTGCTCACATAGGCCAAGGAGCTTCAAACTGACATTACATCCATTTAAAACTCCCAGAATGTTAAAAGAACCCTTTAAAGTTTGATGTTCTGACACTAGAACCAACAGAACTCACCTGGTACTCCTCAGCCGGCTGAACTGGGGGAGTCGGGCTCTGAATAGGACTGGGGTTTGCAGCAGGGACTGGGGAGTGTGCTCTTGCAATCTCCGTTTTGCTGCGTGCAGCCTCCTCCTGCTCCTGCTTCTCCTTGGCCTGTCGACGTGCTCGCTCCTCCTCAGCCCGCTTCTTGTCCTCCTCCTCCTTCTGCTTGGCGATGTTCTCGAAGCGAGTCTTGATGTTTCCCGTATTGTGGCCAACTGAACAGAGAACAACAAGGACAAATGAGGCGAAAATACATTTAAACGTCAAATATCTGGTGATGAAAAGGAGGATGCCTACTCACCAGCCTCCACAGGTTTGGTTTTCTGGTAAGCTGGGGCCGGTCTCTCCACATCCTCAAACGTTCCAGCACTCTGCCAAACACCCAAACGCATCAAGAAAGGAAACAGCCCATTACCCACACAACAAAAAACACAACTAGAAAGTTCCTGGAGAAACACTGACGGGGACTGTCACATAGTGGCCATTTTAAACTTTTGATTTGACAGTGTTAAGCTTTGGGGTTCGCTCTCAGCTACCATCACACCAAATTTCAGCTCAACACAGCAAAAAATTAATGCGGTATTCATTTTTTCTTTTAATCTATGGTGGCAATCTTTGATTTTTTATCTGAATTCAATATTTATTGGGCATTGCTCTCAGCTATCAATACATCAAATTCCAGTTTAATAGCTCTAAAAACCTCTGAGTTATATCCATTTGAAATTAGCTTTGGTGGCCATCTTGTATTTTTCAATTTGAATTCAGAGTGTGTTGTGAATCGCTGTCAGCTACCACCACACCAAATTTCAGCTCAATATATTTTAAAATAGCCGAGTTATCGTATTTTTTCCCTTTTAGCTAAGGTGGCCATTTTGGATTTTAAACGTACATCAGGAATGCATAACAACTTGCTCTCAGCTATAACCAAACCAAATTTCAGCTCAATATATCAAAGAGTGACTGAATTATAGTCAATTTTGAATGTTCTGAGGTAGCTGTGGCAGCCATCTTGATCCAAAATGGCTCCAAGAGTTTTTATTTTTTTTAATCTTTATTAAAAGTAAAACATTATAACGACTTATTAATATACATGCAAACAAATGAATAAAAGACGGGGGGATTATTCAAATACAAATTAAAAGGTGCACAAATCAAATGTTTTTATAGCTTTCTTGTTATTAGAGTCAGAAATGTTTACAATGTTCAGACTCCTTTAGGAAGGCCTGAAAAGAGGGAGGAGAGTGACAAAACTTTGATTTGTGTATGTGGTATTTCCCTAAGAGTATTATCAAATTTATGATATATAGTTCTTTCTGCTTTTTGATTTTGACATCATGGACTACAAAAGGTACATTGTTCCAACTTAAACAGCAATTAGAGTCAATGTGTCTCAGAATGAACCAGATGATGTCTTTTCAGAAGGTGGCAGTAGTGTACATATACATATATATGTACAATGTGTGTGTGTGTGTGTGTGTGTG